TACTTTAACTGTAACATGTTCACACACATATACATATATAATACTTTAACTGTAACATGTTCACACACATATACATATATAATACTTTAACTGTAACTTCTCCTCGACTAATAGTTTTTCTAACTTTGTAATATATTTCTTTTATATTAATTTCAACTTCCAAAACCCCATTTTTTTTTGGGGGGGGGGAGAAGGGTCTTTATGTTGTTTCAACTCTTTTAACCTAAAAGTGACAATCTTAAAATGTAAAAACTTTTGGTATTAACGTGGTGTTTTTGGGCACAACAAACAAATGAAAACCTCTTTTAAAACACTTATAACACGAGAGAGTTTACTAGAACGTTTTCGTAATTTTTATATTTCGTAAAATAAATGATTCAACAAGTATTTCTTCTTCTAAATGTTTGATTGTCTAATAAAAGTTAACGTCATTCAGAATAAGTTAAAGCTGTTGAAACCAATGATTCAGATGTTCTAATATTTGATGAAAAAGTTTATTTAATATTTTACAAGAAAATTCTTACACGTGTTATTCTGAGTGATATCACTGGCTGTTGTTTCTTCTCTCTTTTTCTAGAGAATCTTTCAACTCATGAAGTTTGGATCGTTTGTGGTTTATATTGAAAATGCTGGGGGACAAAGTTTTAATATAGTCTCCAAAATGGCCTCTAGGTGTGGATTACGGGAGGTCATCCAGCCCGTTATCGGAAAACGATTTAAGAGTTCTTTAAAGACATTCGGGATTTTATCTGAAATTCAAAGACATGTTGGAAGTGGTCCTTTGAAATCAACGACAGTCTCTTTTGCTGTTTGGCAAAATATTGGAAGCGAAAGTTTATCACGGCAAACTCAGCAACGCAATCCCTGTTATGGATCAAACTCATTAAGTAGAATGATGATCCGTCAGGATTCTTGTTCTTCTCTGGATGACATTGATTTAAGACCTCAACAAAGTACAAGCTACAATATCAATACGATAATAAATTCTGATGACGAAGATGACGAGAGTCTTGAATCCCTTGAAGTCATGTTGATAAGAAGTACTACATATCCAATGTATAAACGATCAAATTTTCAGAAGTCCTTAGTTGAGCGTGTTTCACAACAAATATGGCAATATTGCACAATCATTTAACTGCCCATAACTAACAATGCCTTTGGAAGCATTACATTCAGAAACACGTCAAAAGGTTTCCGCTGTTTTTAGTGTTCCCAAAATTCGCGATGTTCTGTGAAGAAATGTTGATCATTGTGGCTTGACAGTATCATAGATTAAAAATATATTAACTTTCTATGTAAATTTCAGTGTTAATTAATACTTTGGTAACTGACTATGATCCAAGTACTTTCCGGAAAGTGATGTGGCTTCTCTTCATTTCATTGCCTCTTCCCCCCCACTTGCTGGGGTCATTTTTGGAAAGCATGACTGTAATGAGTATCCACTCAGTATTGTATAACGTGTCACGTCCAATTATTGTTAATAGAGCTGATATATATATATATTTAAGCATACGTCGCTCATTGTTTAATTACTTACTATTGAATCATTAAATCAATAAAAACATTGGTTTTAATATATTGATGGCATGCTTGGGTTTTACTAATTAATTTCCATATTATTATTTTCTAGTTACGAATGTAAGAATTCCCAGACTCCCTTCGTTTTGTTTATTTTTGCCCTGTGTTATTTCATTTTTACTTATGCTGAAGGTGGTTAGGGCGCTCGACTCGCAATCTGAGAG